GGACTCCAGCAACCTGGCTCACACTCGTAGCCCCGCCCTGCTGACTCCCTGAGGCCCCGCCCCACACAACTTTCAAACTGTTGCCACTTGCTTAACCATAGGATTGGCCTGTCTTGGATCCTGCTTCAGGTTTTTCCTAAATTCTTTCAAACGAGCAGCACCGGGTCTCAGCGAGCCCCATACCTCTCATTAAGTAATACACAGAAACAAACACAGGGAGGCAGCCAAAATGAGGATACAAAGAAACAGGTCCCAAATGAAAGAACAGAACAAAACCCCAATAAAAGAACTAAGCGAAAGGGAGATAAGCAACCTAACAGATACTGAGTTCAAAATACTGCTTATAAGGATGCTCAATGAACTTAGTGAGAACCTCAGTGAACTTAGGGAGGGCATCAAGAGCATAAAAAAGTACCAGTTAGAAATCATGGATACACAGAATTAAAGGAGGCATTAACTGAAATAAAGAATAATTTACACAGCTTCAATAATAGAGTATGTAGATCCAAGGAGCAAACCATCGATTTGGAATATAAGGAAGCAAAAAATCCCCAATCAGAAGAGCAAAAAGAAAAAAGAATTAAAAAAAATGAGGATAGAGTAAGGAGCCTCTGGGATAACTTCAAGCGTGCCAACATTCGCATCTTGGGGGTGCCCGAAGGAGAAGAGAGAGAACAAGAAATCGAAAACCTGTTTGAAACAATAATGGCAGAAAACTTTCCTAACTTGGTGAAGGAAACAGACATACAAGTCCAGGAAGCACAGAGAGTCCCAAACAAGATGAACCCCAAGAGGCCCACACCAAGACACATCATCATCAAAATGCAAAAGGTTCAAGACAAAGAGAGAATATTAAAAGCAGCAAGAGAAAGGCAGCTAGTTACCTACAAGGGAGTACCCATTAGGCTGTCAGCTGATTTCTCAAAAGAAACTTTGCAGGCCAGAAGGGAGTGGCAAGAAATATTCAGAGTGATGAAAACCAAGAACCTACAACCAAAATTACTCTATCCTGCAAAGCTGTCATTTAGAATCGATGGACATACAAAAACTTTCCCAGACAAGAAAAAGTTAAAGGAGTTCATCACCACCAAACCGTTATTATATGAAATGATGAAGGGTCTTTTTGAAGAAAAAGATAAAATGTATGAACAAACAAAATGGCAATGAATACATATCTATCAACAATGGAATCTACAAACAAAATGAACAGGAAGAACAGAAACATTCTCATAGATACAGAGAACATTTTATTGGTTGCCAGTTGGGAAGGGGGTTGGGGGAATGGGTGAAAAAGGTGAAGGGATTAAGAAGCACAAACTCATTGCTAGACTGACAAACCTCAAAGGGAAAGGGGTTGGGGGGGGGGGGTGGGAAGAAATAAACCAAAGAACTTATATGCATAACCAATGGACACAGACAATAGTGTGGGAAAAGGTGGGAGGGGTATGGGAGTGGGGAGGAGGGGGGTCAATGGGGGGAAAATGTGGAACATCTGTAATACATTTTACATCCAACAATAAAGAATTGAAAAAAAAAAAAAAATAAATAAAATAACTATTATAAATATGTTTTAAAAAACTATGGTTAAAGAATTAAAACAAATTCTACACACAATGTCTCATAAAATACAGAATAAGAGAAATTATTTTAAAAGAACAAAATGGAAATTATGGAGTTGAAAAGTACAATATTTAAATTTTTAAAATTTACTACATTAAGTTAGCAGTATATTTTAATAGCCAGCAGAGAATGAGTATACCTGAAGATAAATCTATGGAGATTATGCAATCTGAAGACCACAGAGAAGAAATAATGAAGTAAAATAAACGAAACCTCAAAAATGTGGGAACCATTAGCCTAATGGGAGTACCAAAGAGTAAACACAAAGATACCCACACCAATACATATCATAGTAAAAATGTTGAAATAGAAAGAGAAATCTTGAAAACAGCAACAGAAAAACAACTCCTGTATACAATAAACTATGGTGAGATAAACAGCTGACTTCTAATCAGAAACAATGGGATCCAGAAGGCAGTAAGATGACATATTCAAACTGCTGGAGGGGGAAAAAAACAAACAAAAAACACACAATTACAACTACAATAAACCATCCACCAATACTCTCTATTGAGTACACCAAAACCACAATGAGATACCACATCACACTCACTAGGATGGCTATGATAAAAAAGATGGACAAGTACTGCCCAAAATGTGGAGAAATTAGAACCCTTGTACATTGTTGGGGGGATACAATATGGTACAGCTACTGTGAGAAACAGTTTAGAAGTTCCTCAAAATGTTAAACATAGAATTTCCACATGACCCAGTAATTACACCCCTTGGTATAAGCCCAAGAGAAATTAAACATACATCTGCACAAAAACGTGTACACAAATATTCACAGGAGCATTGCTCACAATAGCCAAACCTGTTCTACAGTGTTCCTCAAATCACTTAATAGAGAACTAGAGCAAAATGTTCCCCAACTTGATATCTGAGAATTAGGGAAAAAACTTTTTATCAGTTTGGAAATTGCAATGTCTTACAATTGTAAACCACTTTCTCTAGTTGAATGATACAACATATTAAACTCTTAATTAAACAATATATTTTCACTTAAAGGTAAAAGTTGTATACTGTAGATGAAATTTGAAGAATAGACTATTGATTATTTCCCATCACTAGGGATCTGGTTTTCAAAGTGCTCTTCACTAGGTCTGCAAAGGTGTGTGAGTGATGACAAAGCAAAGAAAAGAGAATTCCACAGACTCCCGAGTCTCATCATATAGGTGGGTCAGTTAGAAATCCTGTTTAAAAAAAAAAAAGCTTAACCTAGAACTTAATATTGGAATCTGAAAGAACCAAGAACAACAATAACAGAAAAGGACTCATCATCTAACTTAAAAGACATGCTGGTGTTTTTTATATGTTAACAGATTTGAAAGATGATGGCTGGGGTAACTGTAAATCGGAAACAAATAACAGACTTGGCAGCCAAGCAAGGGACATTCCCCTTCAATGTCTTTTGTTTTGTTTTTAATCGGGCTAAAGAAAGAGGAATTCTTTATCCTCCCATTTTCTTCCTTAAAATGCCTTTGATTTGTCTTATCATATGGCAAAATCCCCTGAACCTCATACTCATTAAGTCTAATTGAGGTTATGTTGGTAATGACCATCTACAGACAAAGGATCAGTGAAGTTGGAATTAATGTATTGGAAAGATTAATGGTGAAAGCATACAGATTTCTATTCTAGTGACCAAAAATATTAAATTTCAATGTTTATTATCCAAAGAAGCCTTTTTTTTTTTTCCTGTTCTTTTTCACTTCTTTATCTTCTATGTAGTTGCAATTTACAACTTTCACTGCTAACTCTCATTGAGTTCAAAGAGAGCCAGCAATCTTAAGCTGCTGCCAGCTAAGCTATTTATGGGACAGACTCCAGGCATGGCTCAGTGGTCCTGGGAGAGCCTTGGCTCACAGAGGCCCTAGAGTCAACGAGCCTGCGCCCCTGCTGGGTTAATGGGAAGCACCTCGCCCAATCTCTGCAAAGGAATCCAAGGATACTGAGCTGTGAAGGGCACGGAACATCTCCCTACCACACAGATGGCTTCCATTTCTGGTCTAAACCTTTGTTGAAGTAAGCCAAGGAAGATCTATCTTTCTTTAGTGCATTATATGAAGAGTTTAGCCCAGTAATTAAGGAAGATCTATTTTTCTTGGGAAAACATGGAAGAAATCAGCCACACTGTCTTCATGCTTAACAAGTTTGCCAAATAACCACCACCCTATCCTTGGCAACTCTTTGCTGTATCCATTCTCCAACCAAAAGCATTTTACAAATGAAAGTAGACATGAGACCAACCCATACCAAATTCCCCTAAAAAGCAGAAGTTGATATATTTTTTAAAATGTTAACAGAATTTAGCATTTGCAAATATTTAGTATTTTAAGAATTTGATTATAAATGCCCTTTCATCACCTACTATTCACATACACATACACAAAATTCATCTGATATGTCTGGTTTCTCCTTTTCAAAAGGGGAAAAAATTTAAGGCAGAATAAAGCATTTTTTAGAGATGTCACAAATGTTCAAAAACCTGTTTGCCAAACCTTTAACATGGTCAACACCTTAAGATGTTTGGACCACACATTTTCACTCTGCTATCTAAGTTATGTCTCTCTATGTGTGACCAATTAACTTATACTCAAGAATCTAATACAATTTTCCTTCCTAAAAATATAAAAACATTTTAAGAAAAGTAAGAGTCAAGCCATTAAGATTTCAGCTTAGGTCAGTCTGAGGGATATAGTATCTTCTCAACTTGGCCTGATGCCCCTTACTGTAGGGGTCCCAGCAGAGTAGACCACATGAAGTGTCTAAGTGATGCTGACTGTCTCAATCTGATATTAAGAAAATAAGGGCTTCACCAATAGAAACATCAGTCCAATAAGACCAGCACTGCTTTGCCATGAATTCATCAACCCATTTGAAATGAACACCCTAATTTGCATGCATGGTATCCTCATCAGAATGACAGAAGTAAAGTGCTTTCAAGCATCTGATCAAATAGTTACCATGGCCCATCAGCTGAGTACCACATTCTATCCAAAATGAGGACACTTCTCCAGTGCCAGTAATGGACCAGAAATTAGAGAACAGCCATTCTCTAAAAAGTCAATGCCTACAGAGGTGGCCATAAATTCTCACGCACAGTTTTCAAGCTACAGTACTTTCCCACAATTATTCTAGAACAACAAAGGCGATGAAAGGCTGGACATGCGTGCTATTTTCAAATGGGCCAAAGAAGGCAGCATGACATATTTTAGACTGATTACTTGGCAATTTTCTCCTGCTTTTAAGATCAAAGAAGTCTCCACTACAATAATAGATGCTCAAGCAAAAATATGGCAAGGGAACTCGGTCATCTTTCCTCTCTCACACATCACTGTCCCCACCACTTCACTGCAGGTAGCAAGAGCTGTACTCACCAAACCTCTGCAGGTTGAAAGAGCCACGGAAGAATTCTTGTGCGATCGTAAGGAGCCTTGGTAAAAACAGAAATCCTCAGGTGGGAAAGCCTGTACTGATTTAATGCCTCCCTTTCCCAGTGTCTGGATGAGAAATCCAGGAGCCACCAGATTGCTGGAGGTTTTCAGCTCCATGTGGAAGTCGTGCTTGAAGCCTTTCAGCCGAAGGTGAAGAGAGTCCACTCCGAGCTGGGCCAGGGCTCTCCTCCTCCTCTGGGGGTGTGTGATTTCCTGGGACACGTAGTTGCCATTGTGGTCAACCTCATAGGGAGACACCAGGTAATATTCTGAAAGCGTAAGAAGGGGGGGGTGAATAACTGAGTAATTTCAGAATTCTCAAAGAAAATGTGAAACTTTTTCAATGTAATTTATTACCAGATGACATTTTCACTCAGTAAAAAATGATGAAAAGATGTTCAACATCAACCCATCTGCACATCCAAACTGTACAATGCACAAAATCAGAGACAAGAGGGAAAGGTTTTTAAAGTGGCCTTCAAAAGAGAAGTCACTGCGGTTCCTATCATGTGTTCCAACCAATCCAGCAAATTCTCCAACACTCCAAAGGAAAAATAGATGACAGATAAAATAAAACTAAAAAATGAACTTTTTAAAAAATTTTTATTATTATTTTTAATCCTCACCTGAGGACATTTTCCCATTTTTTTGTTCAGGTAGAGTGGGAGGGAGAGAGAGGAACAGAGAGAGAGAGAGAGAAAAACATCGACGTGAAGGGACACATCGAGTGGCTGCCATCCACACGACCGACCAGGGCCGGGGACACACTGCAACCGAGGCACATGCCCTTAGCGGGAACCGAACCCGGGTCTCTCAGGACAGCAGGCCGACGCTCTAACCACTGAGCAACCGGCCAGGGCTAAAAAATGAACTTTGATAATTATATTTCATAATTTTAATTTAGAGTAATTTTTATAGTTGTGAACATTCCTTCAGTCATATTATTCTTTTTCAAACATCTTCATCATGCTAAGAAATGTTAGCTTAAAAATGCTGACAATTTTTCAGAAAACAGTTAAACACAAATACCATGGGCATTCTTTGCTGCTTATTTTTTTATATTTCGTTACCAGATCATTGCATATATAGGAGAAAAGGCGGACCGCACACACATTGCAGGTTTCCCGGATGTGGACATTTGGAAAAGTTCATATGTGTATTTTCTCCCAATGAAAGCCATAACTGACGCTCCAGTTGGCCTGGGCTCTTAGTGCCTGATCACATTTCCTACTCCAGGGCCTTTCCAAGATGTGTGCCACACTCTTCTCCCCACTATAATTTCCAGTATGCAGCTTAAGATGCCTTCGAATACATTATTTATTTTTTTTAATATGTTTTTATTGATTTTTTTAAAGAAAGAGGAAGGGAGAGAGAGATAGAAACATGTGAGAAAGATATATTGATTGGCTGCCTCCTGCAAGCCCCCCTTTGAGGATTGAGCCCCCAACCCAGGGCATGTGCCCTCACCAGGAATCTAACCAGAACCTTTCAGTCCACAGGACGATGCTCAACCCACTGAGCCACACCAGCCAGGTTTATTTATTTTTTAAAAAGTCAAGAAAACTCCAAGGAATTATTAGATTTCTGGGCACACGTATAGGTCTGCAGAATTTCAATCACACGGTCTTACAATTTGCATTCCATGCACATCTGAGACATTTCCCTCTCTCTAAAAAGTACAGAGAGAAACCTCATCAGCATCCTGGGCATGGCCTCCACTGCCCTCCTGGAAATACTGTAGTTTCCCATATAGAGCATTTTCCCTTATAGAAAATTACTTACTTTCATTTTATAGCCAGGAGTTATTCTCTCAGCACAATCACTAATGATATCATTGTTGCTCTCCAAAGCTCAGGAAAGGTTGTTTCTGTCCACGCAGGACAGAACTTTGTCTAGAAAGGGGTGGCTTCATGGCAGGACAGGGTTCTCCCAACAGGGCCATGTCCACACTCGAATGTGGGCTTTTAGACCATGTGAAGCCTTCTGTAAAGCCTGGGGTCACACTTGTCTTAGTTAACCATGTATGAGCTTGGCTTAGACTTTCAGATATTTCAACGTATGGTATGTGTGCCTCCATTTGCACGCTAGCGACGGGTCCGCACAACTTTCAAGAGGGCCTGCTGCCTACCAGGCACGTTTTGTAGTCATCAGAAAATAGCAGCTGAGCATGGCATCAGGCCTTCTTCCCAGAATTTCTTTGAAACAGATGTCAGGCTGAAGTACCAGAAAGGCTGGAAAGATCTGCCCCTACAATGAGGTGAACAGTCTTTAAAGACTCCAAATGCAAATTCTTCCTCCATGCTTAATGAGACCCTGACACTAATATTCTCATCCTGATTCTAATGTCCTCAGAATGTGTGTGTGTGTGTGTTCCTTTTATTACTAATATATGCAACTGTTCTGTTAGATGCTTAAAACTGAAGCCCCTTTCAACCTTTGTGTGAGCTGAACAAGTTTCTTGGAAACATTAGATAAAATAAAACATAGTCCTACAGAAGTGGCATTTGTCACAAGTAAACAGTACCGAAATAATTTTTTTTTTCTGGAAAAGGTTTTATTTACAAACAAAACTCTTTTGTTGTGGGTACCTGTCCACATGTTCCTGTGCTGTCCTGGCAAATGGCTGTGGTTCCACTGGAACAGAATGGGTGGCAGCGGGGACAGGTTTGGGGCAGACAAGGTCAAGGACAGCAAGGCACTGCTTAGAGCCCTATGCTGAAGCCAAGGCAGGGGAGGGTCCAAGGCCAGCGGGCCAGTATGAACAAGAGACAGAATCCCTGAGGGCTCGGCCATAGTCTCTGGGACCCCAGGCCCCCTGTTTCCTCTTCTCAAGAGCTTTGATGTGTGACCCTTCCAGGCCATTGCTGGGCCCACAGGCCTGGCCCTGCCATACAGGTCTGAGTGTACTGGCACTTTGAGGGTAACTGGTGAGATGAGCCACAGCGGACTAGACAGGCAGAGGGTTCTGGCAGACAACCTGATAACCAGACATTGAAATACATGTCAAAGCAGGGCCCTGTGTCACATATGGCAAAATACATTGGAATTATTTCATAATTTTTAGGAAAATAAGAAAAAAGATAAATCCAATTAAATTGTGTGCAGTGATAGGAAATAAAAGGGGGAAACAAGTCAGGATTGCGTGTCTGGTATGAGTATGTGATCACAGTCTGTCCTGGGCCACTCTGAAGGACAAAAGTGAAAAGTACATGCCCCAGCTGCCTTCGTCATCCCAGCTTTCCGGACCAAGGGGACAGGCCGGTGCGACATGGCCGTGTTATCACCTGTCATCCTGCACTCCGGGGCTCTCAGGGGGTACTCTCCAATCACCACCAGCCTGTCACCATCCAACAGAGGCCCTGCAGTGAGGACAGGGGCTGCTCCAAATACTGGCTAACCTGCACATTTGTTGCACATAAAAAGATAATTACCATTTTTAAATATCAAATTGTTTCTAGATGATATAAGTCATATTCTTATGTTCTTTACTTTGGATGAAAGATAATACCTATTTTTATTTTATTTTAATATGTTTTTATTGATTTTTTAGAGAGAGAGGAAAAGAGAGAGAGATTGAAACATAGATGTGAGAGAGAAACATCAATAGACTGCCTCTTGCACACCCCCTACTGGGGATGGAGCCCACAACCCAGGCATGTGCCCTGACAGAGAATCAAACCGGGACCTCTCAGTCCATGGGCTGATGCTCGTCCACAGAGCCTCACCAGCTAGGCAATACCTATTTTTTAAAACAATGACTGATAAGATCCCTTTATATAAACACATGCAATGTTGTGCTAATAAATGTGTGACAAGCGGCTATCTGGGGGGAAAAATTGGGCTAGTTTACAGAATTTTCCAATTTCTCTGGTGTAAATACTCCCACCATGTTTGGTTTCGATGACCAATGTGTGACATCACTGAACATGGAGTTCAGAAGTGACGCACAGCAGCAGGCCATTCCATAGTATTTCCACCATACAGACACTATTCCAGCAAATAACCTCACACCCATAGATGATAGTAAAGCACAGTAAAAGAATTGTGAAGTGTGATAAGGTTTGAATATTTTAATTTTGCTATGATTTCTTTCACTGTAAGTTGATACCATTTAACTTTCAACAATTAGCTTGCAAAATCACTGAAAAGATAGCAGTCAACTCTGACAGGCTGGCAGGTGCTGGTCCCAGCACCCTGGCTCTAGGTTCACTCATTGTGATCAATGACAATCCCTTCCTGGGAGTGAGGGAGGCAATGGGTGATGGCCGAAGACCTGTCTTTCAGGTTATTCCAGTGGTTCTCAACTAGGGGTGACTCCCCTCTCCGCCTCAGAGAACAAATGTCTGGAGACTGTCCCAAAGCAGGAGTGGAGAGTCGTGCTCTTAGAATCGGGTGGGTTGAACACAAGGATGCTGCAATGTGGCCTTGACTGAACAAAATAAGTATAGCATCTCATCGTACATTTATTTCTACTTGGAGAGCAGTTAATATAGTATTGCAGTAAACTGAAACTTTTAAACTAACTTTTGATCTTATGTTTTAAAATTATAATCCCCAAAACTATTGGTTTGTGATTTTGAGAAAAATTTTAATGTAATTCCTGACCTTTGAGAATTCTTTAAATAAGACCTTGGTTCTATATAGATTTTTTTTTTTTTTTTTTTTTAAGGAGAAAAAATATACACTGGTGCTTCAGTCAATACCCTGGCCTACTTGATTTCAGAAGGTTTTCTGACCACAGCGTCAAGCCTAGGAACACTCTGGTTTCAAACCAAGGGCATGAGGTGTGGGCCATCTGTGCTTGTGCGAGGGCTGACCTGACCAGCTGCAGAGCTGCTTTTGCACACTGCATACTCCTTCTGTGTTTAGTGATACCACACTGAGGGCTTGAAATCTGCCATGGTGGGAGGAATGACCCCATGGCAACAGTAAATGTTACAAATCGGAGCTCCAAAGAGCCTTTTGTTAAACATTTACACCACTGGGCCAACCTGAAGGACACTGCCCTGCCTAATGTGATGTGAATGTTTGAATGTAAATCAATATAAACTCCAGAGCACAAACACAGACCTATTATGTCCAATGAAACAAAGTTCTAAGGAACTTGTAAACCTTCCTGGAAGCTTAGCTTACTCTAGAATTGAAAGTTAGCACATGTGTTATGTTTTTGCTCTTAACAGGAGCAACAATTTTTATTACAATGGCAAATTAGTAGGAAAAAACATTCAAGTCTCCTACTAAAGAAAAGCAATGCTAAATCAGCCAACACAAAATGAGTGTACCTAAAGTCTGAAAATAGAAGTTATCTCACTTTAGTTACCCTTCAAAGGGTATATGTAGTTCTCTTTCCTCTTGCATAATTATTTCAGATACCCAGTAAAACTTGCAACATAGCTTGAAATATATTTTAAACAAATATTATAGCCAAAAGAGTTATTTCAACATATACAGTGGATGCCTGGACTTCCAATAGTTAACTGAGCCCAGCATCACACACAGTGTACTCTAGCTCTGCTTTTCTGGATGGAAACACGTAACACTGCTGAACAGAGTCTTTCTCTGGTCAGGTGAAAGCTGTCCCTGGACACTCTCTCAGCTTAGCTTGTGATAACTAAAGACCTAAAACAAATGCAGATGGGAAATGAGGGTGGTTTGTCCACTCAGCTAGACCTTCACTGATAATGGATTGCACCTTACCATTCGGGTTTTGACCAAGCAAAGTAAGTGGCTGTCATGAAAAATCTGGGCTGTGACACCCGCTGAGGTGCCCTGTGATTGGAGCCCCCTGCCAGCCAGGCTGGAGTCCAGTGCACAGGGGTCTAATCTCCCACGGTTTGAAAAAGCACACTCAGGCAGGTAGTTATGGCTGCTCCTCCTGGAAATAAATGATTCTCTGTCTATAAACTCCTATTTTAAAGAAAACTTCATAAAATACTTTGAAAATCTCCTGAGACCTTCAGGAATTTTTAAAATTTTTGAGAACTAAAGTTTTTACAAAAATATATTTAAGTGTGGGGGGAATGACCTTCTAATGTGGTTAATTATAATTCAGAATGCATTGTAAGAGAAACAATCAGAAGACCAGAGCAACCTCAAGAAGGTGAGCTTTAAATACCGAGTGAAAATTTTAAAATATTTCTATCATTTACATCTAGCGCCCTCTGGTGGTCCTGGAAAAGGTCCTCTGTTCCTCCATTCATCTGATTTGTCACTTTATATATTATTATATGTTCATTCAGAAGGAGATAATTTCTTTTTTTTTAAATTTTAACTCTCACCAGAGGATTTTTTAAATTGATTTGAGAGAGAGGGGAAGGGAGGGGGAAAGAGAGAGAGAAAGAGACAGAGAGAGAAAGAAACATCGATTGGTTGCCTCCCATATGCACCCTGATGGGGGATCCAATCCTCAACATGGGTATGTGTCCTGACCAGGAATCGAACCCTTCATCCCTCGGTGCACTAGACGACGCTCCAACCAACTGAGCTACACTGGCCAAGGCCAGAAGAATATAATTCCAATAGTTAATGCAGACATTATATTATTGTCTTCTGTAATTTTATCAAGATGAAGAAACTATATTCAGATATTTTGAATGATTAACTCTTTAATTTTCAAGATTTTCTAAAATAATGCTGTGATTTTATTATGCTGTGAAATTAAAGCTCGTTCCTTCTCTAAAAGTCATTTCCCCCCATATAATATGACAATTTATGGTTGCAAATGATGCAAGGTACTAATATTGAGTAATCGACATTCCACACCTGTTTTCCCATTCACCCAGGAAATGTGAAATTCACAAATAATGCTTGTGAAAGACCATTCGTGAGCAGCAGAAGTAAAACCACACATTGCAAAAGGACTAGATTTGTTTTATGACACAAGTCACAAGATAGGGACATTGCTTCTGATGTCACAATATGCTAACTACCCGGATTCTTGAAGAGCATCAGCTCTGATACTAAGATGGTAGGGACTGAGCAAAAATGACTGCCTCTGCCTCCTGCTCTGAGTCAAGGATAAAGCTCAGTTTAAAAAGCAGGAGGAGGGGGAAGAAGGGGAAGGAGGGGTGAAGAATTGAGTAATGTGCTCTTTATAATTGCTTCAATGCAGACATTGATACAGCCTGTAGATTCCTCCTTGGCTCTTTCACTTTTTTAAAAAATAAAATGCATTCCCTGGCCTCTTCCCCTCGTGTCTGTGGTAGTAACACTGGTGAGCTCTTGCTGCTTCACACGGAAATATAACGGCAGTACCGCTGAGAGTGGACTCAGGTGCTGTCTCACAAGCACGCAGTACCTTAGGAGGTTCCTATAGTGGTGGACATCCGCAGCCCGTTATAAAACAGCTTAGGGTTTCACCAGCTGCTACACTGCAAGGACTGGAACCCCGCTCGCGGACTTACCGCCCTTTTTCTCCCAGGCGGGCCACTCCGCGGGACCTGGAGGACGCCGGACGCTCGGGCTCCCGGGCGAGTCCGCAGCGGGTCTCAAGGCGCGCGCAGGTGCCTGCTGGAAAACAGCGGCGACACCTCGGTGAGACTGGGGGCTGCGCAAGGCAAGCCACGGGGGGCCCTGCCCCCGCTGTCGGGGACTCACCTGCACACCCACCTGCGCCAGCAACAGCACCCAGAGCGCCGCGCAGCCAGGGCCCCACATGGCCTCGCTGCCCCGCGCGCCCCGCATAGCCCCTGGGGGGAAAACGCAAAGCTTCATCCTGGGAGCTCGAAAGGGTCCGGGGGACCCGGGACGGTCCCCAGCCGGGCGGCGTGCAAGTGGGCTCACAGGACCCGATTCGACTGGAGCGCAAGAGCCTTCCCCTCCGTGATTCCGCTGCCCGCGCGGGGGTTATCACTGCGGCTCCGCACCTCGCGGGGGGCGGAGTGGCGGCCGCGGCGGCGGCGGGGGCGGTGGCTGAGCACCCGCCCGCACCGTGGGAGAACTGGGGGAGGGGGTTGGAAGGAAGGCAAGTGAGGGGAGGGAGAGGCGCAGAGGAGGGAGGAAGGGAGCAGAGGAGGGAGAAAGGGGAGTTGGAGAGGAGGGGAGCGAAGGCGGAGGGCAGGAGGGGAGAAAAGAGGGGAGGGAGGAGGCAGAAAAAAGAGGGTGGCGGGGTGGAGAAGGAGAGCATTGAGACTGGGAGAACCAGGATGCTCGCCTGTCCACAGTTGGAGCCTCAAAGGGCGCCCGGTGGTCAGAGGGTGAGAGGGGACTGGGGACACAGGGCAGTGAGCAGGTTGGACGGCCGGCCCCTTCGCCCTCCGGACCTAGCGTCTGGCTAAGGGCCAGGCCATGCCTAGCTGCTCTGTGGACCGCTCCTCAGGATCCCACTCCCCGAAGGCCTTACCTGCAGGGCCACAGGCCGTGGCACCTGCCCCGGGTTGGAGTGAGGCTGGACTAGCCTGGGCCCCGCTAGCTCCACTCTCCTGCCTAGTGGGGAAGATGGGGTCGGTCTGGGGCGCCCCGGACCTTCTGGGGAACACGTGGATTTGAGTGTATGTGCATTGTTTTGGGGCTTGTGAAGTGATGGGTGAGGAGGAGGTGGCGGAATCACCCTCTTTCCGGACATCTGCCCGGCGAGGTAGCTGCGCTCCAAGCCCTGGGATCTCCGTTGCCCTAGACAGGCCTTGCGTCAGTGTCTGTGCAGGGGCTTCTGGGGGCCTGCCTGGGTTCAGCCTTTTGATCCGAAGGGCTGTGCTGTTGTGCCAGCAGCGCCAGGGGCAGAAGGAGGATCAGGAGTGAGGCCACAGACCTGGCAACAATTCCAGTCCTGGTTGTAAATCTCTCCAAGGCTTGTGCATATACATACGGGTGTATGCATTTCATCGTGAGCGCTTGTGTACGTGCTTGTGCTTCTGCTTGTGCGTGCTTGTATGTGCACGCTTGTGAGTGTGTATGTGCTATGCATAAGTGCACGCTCCTGTTAGTGCCTGTGACCCGTGCTCCACTAGTTGCTCTTCATCCTCCTGACCAGTTACCACATGCAGTTCTCTGATCTGTGTCACTAACATTCAGTTTAGACAAAGTTTTCATGTTTTGCAAATTTTGTAAAGTAGGATGAAAAGGAAGTGGTCTCTGGACTCCTTTGCCCAGCTAGCTGTGAGCCTGGAGGTGCCTCTTGCCTTTTTCAGTCCTGAAGTGCCAGACATCCTGGGCACTGACAGCAGAACCTCTTGGCTGTGCAGGGGCTGGTCCTTGTCCCACATCTTTCTGTCTCTTATCTCCATCTCTCATGTGCATTTATTTAAAGCACTCTTCAAAATGGTGTATATTTTTACATAAAGTACTGTATTAGGGTGGCTTTAAAAACAAGTGCCACCCTCCACCTCCTCAGTTCCTGTCCAGTGTCTGCCTGTGTGTGCAGGGCAGGGAGCTTACACCGGAGGAAACTGGGGGCTGGGTTGGGCAGATCATCAGGGTTTCACAAAGGTTCTGCAGGAGGCAGAGTTTCCCTATGTCCTGAGTACAGGGCACTGCATGCTAGGAAAATGGGAATCTCTAATCATAACTAATTAGGTCAAACATAGCCTGTCAGGGGGTCATATTCTCCAAGTCTAGCTACAATCACATGAAGATGCCCAGGGGCTCTCTTTTTATAAGTTCAGAAAGATGCAATAGAAGAAGAATGGCTGGTATAAATGATTTCAGCCCTGCCCAGTTTGGCTCAGTGGTTAGAGCATCGGCCCGCGGTCCAGAGAGACTCGGGTTCGGTTTCCGCTCAGGGCATGTACCTCAGTTGCAGTTTGTCCCTGGCCCTGGTTGGTATTGTATGGGTGGCAACCACTCAATGTGTCTCTCTCACATAGATGATTCTCTCTCTCTTCCTCCCTCTCTCCCTCCCATTCTATTTGAAGATACATGCAAAAATGTCCTTGGATGAGGATAAAAAAAAGGATTCAGTTTTAGGATTTTTTTTTTCAGTAATACCAAAATGAGTCTCTTTCCATTGTGAGAAAAGAAACAATATTCTTTACAATGATGAGCGTTCTTCCAGTTCCTTTAGCTGTTCACTGAATTCAATGTTCATCCTAGGCCCCTAATTCTAGATTACACAGACCAAAGGCAAAGTCCAGCATCAAGGACAGGTTGGGTGCTGAGATGAGGGAAACTGGTACACAAGGTGTAAGAACCACTAAGAACACAGTGCAATAATGTGGCTTGTGACTTACAATAAAATAAACATGTGGTCTTCTATGTGTGTCACAGGGCTCCTGAAACCCTTGGAGTTTATCAAGTGATGAGATCATTAAAGATGTCTTTTGTTATGCTAATGAGATGACTTTGCACCCCAGGATGTGGACTGGTTGCCAGGAGACCCATATGGTGAATTTTCTGTGAGTTCCTAAATGGCAGCCCTGAGAGGGAGCTGTTTCTACTCCCTCCTTCCAGACCTAGGATCACTTCTGTCCTTACCTTTCGGGCCAGAGGCTCCATCAGCCTCTCTCCAGCTGATCTGGTCTCTCTGAGCCTCAGTGTTCTTATCCCCACAAAAAGAAGGACATCAGCGGCTTGAAGATGCGTTAGGGTTAGATGCAGTAATGTACACACATAGCAGGAAAGAGCTCAACCCTGCTCTCCTCCTTCTTCCCAGGCAACAGAAGGAGTGGAGGTCCATGTGCAGTGAAGTGTCCCTAAGGAAGAGGATGGAAGAGTTTGACTCAAGTCAGACTATCACTGAGGAGGGACACCAGGGGCCATAGAGCACATTTGACAATGTATTCCTGTCTCCTGCATCACAAGAAAGTCAACTTGGAATAACATGCAGGAACCACAGCATTTTCCTTCCAAATGCATCCATGTTGTGATCTGGCATTTACTTTTGTGGAGGAGTCTGGAGGCAGGTTGCTCTCAGATCCAGTTCGCATAGAATCATCACCCATTCTTGCCTTTGGGCTCTTTGTGGCTGTACATTGTGTCATTAATTTTTCCTCAAACATCACAGGTATATAGATACTTTTCAGCTTTGGGAAAATATTGATACTTATGTGCTTATTATTTGGGAGACGTGATATTCAATAAGTAGTATTTAGTATTAAAATAGATGGTTTATATAAATAATTTCTGACATAACATGACAAAGATGATCATTGAAAAGGAAAGTATATACTTGTGTATATATTTTTCAATATATTTTTATTGAAAAATAGTATGTTTCGTATTTTATAAAATATTTTCAAATAACAGAAAAGGGAGAAAGCACAGAAAAGCAAAGTAAAATTTTACTAAAATTATATCCTATAGATTAGGGAGTCAACATATATGCTTTAGTTGTAACTTTGAATATCAGAGAGTTAAGCTAAGATCCTTTTTAGAAATTGAAAATAAATACTGGTGGTTAAAATAAGATTATGTGAGAATTGAAAGGTAAAGATATTTGAATATATTGAAAAAACAGAATAACAACAGGAAAATGAAAATCAGAAGGTATGGTGTGATAACAGAAGACAAAAAATTAACAGTACATACAATGGATTAAATCTGCTTACTTTAGAACAAAGTCTTAGATTTTGTTATGGTAGTAAATGCAATCACATACTCTTAAAAGTACATACACACTGCCAAGAAAACTAAAACATTAAATTCCTCAATTAATATTAAATTAAAATATCTTCCGGGGAAATATAATAAAATTGAGACTGCCAGGGTATGACCCTGGGTACGTTTTCTAACCCTCAGGAGACTTCATTTTCTTATCTGTGTAAAAGAGATGATAAAAACAGAACCTCCTTCAGATGGTGGTTATGAGGATGCAATAATTTAATATTTATAAAGAACTTAGAACAATACCTGGAATGTAGAAATTGCTGTATAAGTTGAATAAAACTTTAAATAAAATTGAATGCATTCAGATAAAAATAATACACATTACTGTTAATGGAGGGGAGATGGCCTGGTCTCCCCCAGTTGCTGTGGGGGTGGAATTCTTGCAATAGTTCAAGAAAAAGAATTTTCTGAGACTCACATGGGAGGATTAGGTATTGTAGGAAGCTTTCTTTCTTTTTATAAAAAATATTATTTATTTTTGTTACAGATATTTCTCCTTTTTTCCCCCATTGACACCCTCCTTCTGAATCTTGATTTCTGTGGAATTAAATCCTTGAGTTTCCAAAGTCCCATTTCCCTCAGTCCAATCGTAGAAGAAGTGCAGCTGGATTTCAGCTGAGCTAAAATCAGAGTCAGTGTCCAGTTTCCTTTCCATTTAGGAGCAAGGTTCAGTCTAGCACCAGACTAGCTTAGCTTGTGTTCCCTGCTGTAGTTCATTAGGGCATTGCATGTGGAGTCCACAGGGCCACATGGTTATGGAGGAAACACAGGCAAATGCAAGGAAGCCAAGAACGAGCCAAGAGCACAGGAGCAACAAGAATCACTAGTTCAGTGTTTCAAGAGCAACAAGAGAGTAAGTTTCTTTGTTTAGGTGGTTACGTATTCCCAAATTTTCATGTGCTTGCAGTGGCCGTGCCTTTCTGGCCAACCATCTCTGTCCCCAGGTTTGACTGGCAAGTACCTTTCCTATGTCACCCCAACTTTACTAGGCATTTGTCTATCTTCCCTTTGTTAGATCTCTTCCCCCAGAGTTTTGTAGGGAATACCTCCCTGTCTCCCTGGGTTGTGCAAAGTTGCAGCTTCCTGGTGAAGCTGCCCAAATGACATGCTTATAATGT